TTTCTGATTCCCTGGTGCTGAGATTATAACTCAGGTGCCACCATGCCTGATTTTTCTTTTAAGCATGGACTCTGCACATCAAACTCAGGTTCTCATGTTTGCAAGGCAGGCACTTTCCCAACTGAGCCCACTCCTGCATCCCTTCCCCCTAAGTTTTGGGTCATTTATTTTCCATAACTGTTTTGTGCTATGAGGATCACTTCCTCTTTCTAGTGGGAAAACTAGTCTTTAAAGAGAATTGAGGCTCCCTGAGGAATGGTAATGGTGCCGGCCACATGGAGAGCCTTAGGGTCTGGCTCTTGTGCTCATCAGTGACCCCATGCCTTTCCTCTGCTGGCTTTGATGATAGCCAGGTGCAATAGGCGTCCTCAAAGGCCCCATTTAGCAGACATGGAAGGTGAGGCTCAGAGGTGTGATTCATCTGAGCACAGGCTGCTGTGACACTAGGGTCCGGGTAGAGGAGAGGAGCCCTCTGTGACCTGCCATCTCCACCTGCAGCCTCCTCTTTAGAGTCCCTCTGAGAGAGAAGCTTCAGGCTCTCTAGGGACTGTGATGCAGAGGCTGGGCACTCAGCGAGGCTTCCCGGTGCTCACAGCAATAAACCAGGAGGCACGATTAACTGCTCTGGGACGCGGTTCCGATGGGGCCAAAGACCACCCCCTCCCCGGCCCCGGGATAGGCAAGCTGATTAATATGGGGAAAGCTCTCTTCTCCAGAGTGGAAAATACCCAAAGTCTGCCATGGAGCCCCACTCAACTGCCTCTGCACACACTCCCTGAGATTTAGCTGCACTCAAAGCTGATAGATAGGTGTTTATATATGCATATATAGCCCCATATACATTCTCTTGTACAGAAATGCTAAATTCCCAAGATGAAGTGTCTTCGGTTGGGGAAAATCAATCCACTTCTTTGAGGAGGCTGAGATGGAGAGTCGTGAGCCTGGAACTCCCTTTCTTGCCAATTTTTCCTGATATAAAAAGCGTCTTCACTCTGGCAGATCGCCTTGTGTTGGCTGCTCCAAACGATTCCATTAATTGATTTAGGTGACTGGCTCTGCAATCACCCTTATTAAGGTTCCCACCACAGCCAGGACAGCAGATGACTCCGGAGCCATCGGTATGTGGGACCCCACTCCCCAGAGAGGTGACTACAGCTCAGGCCAGTAGTGGAGAAACGGGCCTCTGGTGAGGAGGGCTTGCTTCCTTCTACGGTAGACATGCCAGGGGTTCAGGGCTGCGCTCCAGAATGTCTGAACTGTTCCAAGATAAAGCATCATGGGGAGAGACTGTGAGCTGGTGTATTTGACAGTGGAGCCCAGTTGGGGTCTGGGTCAAGAACGGCGGGGACATCCAAGGGAAGCAGGTTGCAGACTTATGCCACAAGTCAAAAGATGCTGTGAGTTTGGAGCCCTGGAACCAGAAGGTGGAATTCTTGAAAGGCATGTCTCAGCTGGCTTCTGCTTTGTGTCATCTCCCGTCTTAACTTGCCTGCACTCACTGGTACCCTTCCTTGTCCCTTTGCCTACCGGTGATCTCTAGTGTCTCCCTCGGGGCCTCTCCCCCTCAGCACATGCTCCAGGCACAACTGAATTCTCTGCCTTAGAGGATGATCTAGGGAAAGCACCTCTGTTGGCATCAGGCAGAGACCTGTGGATAGGAGGAATGGAGGGTGGAGGGTGAAGGCGGGGTTGAGACAGAAAGGTGTTCTGATACATCCTGAGAGTCAGGGAGGAGGACAGGCTGGCAGAAAGGGTCATGGGAGAGTAAGTGGACAGGATAGGTGAGAGGGGAAGAGTGGCCGGCTGGCTAATGGCCAAATGGGGAAGAGGAAGGATGGATGGACATATGTAAAAAGAACATATAAATAAACAGTTACAGGCTGGATGAAGAGGGTAGAGTGTGGAGTAGGGAAAAGGAGCAGATGGTCGATAAGAAAAGGAAAGAGGGGTGGATACTTGTGTGAGTGGGTTAGGGGGCTCTGGTGGGTGGACTGAGGGGTGCATGCAAGCATGGGTGGGTGCTGGGATGGATTGTTGGATGAATGCATGCATGGATTGACAGTGGGTGAACTCACAGGTAGGTACGTTAGGAGGTAAAAGACCTGACTCTCATCTCTAGAAAACAGGACTTGGGAGGCAGGAGGCAGGGGTGTAACGCAGCAGCTGAGGAGCTGGAGTCTTTGAAGGGAGAACAGCAGTTAGGTCAGAACAACCAGAGTGCCAGCGAGTCTGGGGAGCGGTGCGTCTGGCAAAGCGAAGTGGTTGGACTTGGATGATTTCTTCACAGGAAGAACTGGAGTTTCTGATTATCTGTATAAGCAGCTCGATCGGGAACAGTACCGCTCTCGGGAGCACGTGTGTGAGAGTGTATTAGTTATCCACTGCTTAACCCATTACCCCAAACTCCTTGTCTTAAGGCAACATCTGTTGTTTGGTGGCTTGTGGACAGGAATCCAGTGGGACTTTGAGAGTCTTCTGGCTTGAGGTTCCTCAGTGGGCTGTGAGCCAGCTGTCAACCAGGGCTGCAGTCGCTCTGCGGAGTGCCTTCTACGCTCATGGCATGTACACGTGCTCTGGGATTGCTGCGCTGAATAAGGGAAGTACCATTTGGCTAAGGGTTGGCCAGATGCTGTCCTCTGTCCTTGCCATGGGAATCTCTTCTTAAGGCCACTCATAGTGTGCTAGGACCACACCACCACCACCAGGGAGAGGAGCCGAGGGATGTGCAGGGAGATGAAGACAAAGTCATGTCACTCAGAAGTGGCATTCCAGCCCTTCCAGAGAACGACCCGAAAGCAAGCCAAGAGGTCCAGTCCACACTTAGGAGGAGGAGACAGATCAAGGGTATGACTGCCCAGAAATGGGGGTCTTTAGAAGCTATGCAGTGCCCGGGGAAGAGGCGTGCGGAGCAGGAAGAGGGGCCAAGAGAGGCTGCCAGAGGCGCATCTGCATATCAGAAATTATCCGGAAAATGAGAAACATCTGGAGCATCAGAAAAGCCGGCAATGAGATTCATCTTTGAGAGGTGTTAGCGGGGGAGCATTTGGGATGAGCTGAGGTAGAAAGCCGACAGGAAGACAGCAGGCTGCAGAGTGGGGCAGCTGAGAGCAGAGGCGACTGCAGGCAAGAGCAGTTGGGTGAAGCCGGGAGACTCTTTGTGCATTGGCTTTGAGGCAAGTGAGTTTGCAGGCAGGGGAGTGGCTGCTCCGTGAAGGGTTTCATGCCCTGTAGCACTCAGTTGATTCCATCTAAGATGGAGTCCAAAGCCTCCTGCCTGCTGCTCTGATGCTGTGGCCTCCTCCCCTGGGGCGTGCTATGGACTTGGGCAGCCAGCTTCAGAGGGCCCATCCCTTGCCAGATCCCAGAAGCACCCAGAGGAAGAAGTATGCATTCCTCTCGGGCTCCCTGCCGGCTTCCTGCAGCCATGGCCTGGTTCCCTACCCTTCCCCCCCAAGCCTGTGCCAGCCTGTGGGAGTGCACCCGTGTTGTCACGTGCACCAGAGCTGGGCTAGGTGCCAGTCAGACAGGCTGACATCACAGAAAGCCACAGCCAGACTTGGAAACAGCCGTTACAATGGGGCTCTCAGAGCCACCTCTCCCCCTGGGACCAAGGCAGGGCTGATCTCTGTTGGGACCAGGCAACTGGCTTGCATTAAGTTCCCAGGACGGTTCACGGACACCTAGCTCACCCAGACAGCAGGGGACACTCATGCCCAGCCCTCTCTCCTTGCCCCAAGGACCCCCCTGATCTCCCTGTGCAGACGCAGCAGCTCACCCACCAGCCTGCCCATCCTGCTCGGAGCCTCTGTCTCAGACATGGAGCAGTCACGGGGTCCTGTAGGCCGGTACTCCCAGGAGCCTCACCTTTCTCTCCGCCTGCAATTCCCACTGAGCCTCTCTCAGTCCAGAGAAGAACAGGCCAGAACCATGCTTAAGTCCTCCCCCGAGAGAGTATGAAAAGGGGGTCAGCTTTGCATGAAGTCAAAGCTCACTGTGCTTTGTCTTCGTGTGTGCCCCCTAGTGGTTCCTGGGATACAGTGCAGCTGTGTGGGTAGGCACATGGATTGTCTCTAGAGGGTCTGGATTTGAAGCCTGGCTCTGCCATTTAGGCTCTGGATAGCCTTGGGTGAATTATTTAACAGTGTCTCAGCTTCCCCATCTGCAAAATGGGACTAACAACACCTACTTCTTGTGATTTCAGTGAGGGATCCATGAGTGAATACAGATAAGGCTCTTAGAACAAAACCTGTTAATTGCCTAACAGATGCTGGAGAAAACTCGTTTTAAAGAAGTCAGTATAAGAGTTGGGACTGCAGCTAGGTCAGCAGAGTACCTGCCTCATATACATGAAGCTCTATTCAATCCTCAGTGCCAGATGTGGTGGCACACACCTGTAATCCCAGCTCTTGGAAGGCAGAGGCAGGAGGATCAGAAAGTTAAAGTCACCCCGACCCACTTCCTGGTAACCCTGCATTTTTGCCAGAGCACAAACAGTCTTTTGAATTAATTGATTTTCGAGACAGACTGGCCTCAAACTCTATGTGTAGCTAAGGAGGAGAGAGAAGACTGGGCACGAGTGTCCCCTGCTGTCTGGGCAAGCCAGGTGTCTGTGAACCATCCTGGGGACTTAATGCCTGGTCCCAACAGAGATCAGCTCCGCCTTAGTTGCAGGGGGAGAGGTGGCTCTGAGAGCCCCATTATATCGGCTAACCTCAAACCTGTCTCAAAAATTAATTAATTAATCCCAATGACTTTTTGTGCTCTGGCAAAAATGCAGGGCTACCAGGAAGTGGGCCAGGGTCTGAATGTCAGCTTTGGTGCCCTCCAGCTGTGCAGCCAGGGCCTCAGTTTATACGTCCATGCAATGGGTGGTGCTCCCCTACCCTGCAGAGTATACAGAGTTGGATAACTAGAGCCATGCTGAGTGACCCGAGGGAGTGGGGCGTTTGGAGAGGGGCTCCGTAACTTTGGTTTAAACATTCCCGCCCCTTGCTACCCAGAAATCCAAGATCTCTACCTTCGAGAAGATGTGGGCCTTCATGAGCAGCAAGCCCTCGGCGCTGGTGAAAAACAATGAGGAGGGCATCCAGCGGACGCTCACAGCCGACTACGCTCTGCTCATGGAGTCCACCACCATAGAGTACATCACACAAAGGAACTGCAACCTCACCCAGATCGGTGGCCTCATTGACTCCAAGGGCTATGGCATCGGCACACCCATGGGTGAGGGGGCCCAGGGAGAACAGTGTGGGGCAAACAGAGGTTCTCGGGCTCCTCCACCCTCCTCTCGCACAGTCCTGAGGATCATTCTACTGAACCTGGGAAGGTGGTGCTCTGTCAGCCAGGAGCAGAGGGATGGAGTCACACCCCTGGCTTGGTTAGCCCTAGCCTTGAGCAGTGAGAGCTGGGACAGCACCCACCCCCTTGCCCAGTTCCTGTTAACATGCCCACATACTTGGGGCCTTCCGGGGCCACAGGACCCACGTCCAGTGAGCAAGTCCTCCCCACCAAGGTACCCTACCTGGACTTGGAGGTGGGCTTTAATGAAAAGAGCCCTTGTCTTAAGCTGGCAGAGGCAGAGGCATGGTGGCTGGCTCCGGTAAGCAGCCCTCGCTGACAAACCCCCTGCCCCCTCCACAGGCTCCCCCTACCGGGACAAAATCACCATCGCCATCCTGCAGCTGCAGGAGGAGGACAAACTGCACATTATGAAGGAGAAGTGGTGGCGAGGCAGTGGGTGCCCGGAGGAGGAGAACAAGGAGGCCAGCGCACTCGGCATCCAGAAGATCGGCGGCATCTTCATCGTCCTGGCTGCCGGCCTAGTCCTGTCCGTGCTGGTGGCAGTGGGCGAGTTTATATACAAACTCCGCAAGACAGCGGAGCGGGAGCAGGTGAGGCCCTGGAGGAGGCTGCGTTGGACAGGGAAGGAAGGCAAGGGCAAGACTAAGCTGGTTTCACCCTCCTATGCGCATGCGCTGTCTCATCTCACCTCCCTGACCGCCATCAGACTCCAGCCAGCTCCTCCTCTGTCCTGACCAAGCATGCTTTCCCATCAACCCCTGCTCCACTCCATCCCCAGCCAGTGTGCAGTCAATACAGCCCAAAGGATGCCCAGCCTCCATGCGTCCGTCTACCTGGCCTCCCAGCTCCCACCCTCTCTCTCCACGCTAGCCCAGCCTCCAGGTTGACTTTCCAGCCTCCAGTGCTTCCTGCCCACCGCATCTCTCCACTGACATCTACAAGCTCCATAGCAGCCAGTGCCCTGTTTCAAACTTAATTCAAACCATGTCAGCTTCCTAAACCCCCAGGGTAATTGTTGAAGCTGGGTGACAGAGGCACAGGGGTTCATTATATTGTGCTCTCTATTTTCGCATATATTGGGAAATTTCCATAATGAAAAGTTTATAAGAGAAAAGTTCTGAGAGATGGCCCAAGTGTGCAAACAGTGAAGCCAGTCTTCCCCTGCCTGATTAATTCAAGCGTGGTCAGGGCAGGAGCCCTGGGTCCCGTGGCAAATTAGAAGCATGGAGAGAGAGTTTTAAGTGCTAATACCCTGGCCTCACTCCCAGAGACTCTGTTTAATTGGCCCATGGTGGAGCCCAGCTCTAGAGTCTGCAGAAGGCCCATGGGGTGAGCGAAGCATGCACCTGAGCCACAAGCCTCTGGGCTGGGGAACCAACCGCCTCTCCGCGGAAGTTCAAAAGCATCCGGGGCCCAGGGTGGCTGACAGGAGCCTGCGGCTGGGTCACATGTGGAGGGCCCATTACAATTGGTGTCTGATAGATCCATCAGAATGAACTGGAGTTGTTTAACAACCAGCAAGCCAAAATCAATCGAGAGAAGGGAGAGAGAGTGAGTTAGCCACAGCCTTAGAGAAGCCCGAAAAGGTACCATCCCAGAAGACCGCTCTACTGGAAATCAGCTTGCAGCTGACTGGTCATTGGTCAAGAATATGGGTTGTTTGGCTCACAAGGATGTTTGTCTAAGGGTGAGCCATAACATAAAACACTGGGAAGATACCTAAATGTCTAACAGGGAACAGTTAAACGTTATACACACACACACACACACACACACACACACACACACACACACACACACCAGTTGCCAGGATTATTTTAGGAACCCCTGTTAAGAATGAACTGAATTCTAAACTTGTCTAGAAAAAACAAAAAGGAACTGAAAACTGGCCCGCCTTTTAGACTTGCTTTTCCTCATGCCCATCCTTTACGTTCCCTCACACGTGACTCCTCTTGAGTCCATGACAAGCTCCGCATGTTTCTGCCTCAGGACCTTTGTACATGCTGTCCCACCTCCCTGGAGGGTGCTTCCTGAAGTATACCGTATTCTCAGCTTCGTCTGGCCACGTGGATTTTAACTCTTGTCACCCCCATAACTAGCCTTCCCTAGTCCCCATCCCCCACTTCTCTCTTCCACATCACAGCTCTGGCCTCTTTGTAACAGGCATAACTGGCTGGAGGATTCACATATGACCTTGCTTGTTGTCCATTTCCATCCCATCGCTAGACCACAGCTCCCTGGTCAAGTCCTCACTGCGTTAGCACCACTCTGTGCTAGCACCCAGCATGCAGCCTTGTGTGGGGACACACTTGCAGGATGCAGAAAGGCAGGCTGAAGAAAACAATGTTCTACACAGACAGGAAAGGTGGGGGCCCCCAGTACCACAGCCTGCATGCACCCTCCTGGTGCTGATGCATGGGAGACCTCCTCTGTACCACAACCCACATGCACCCTCCTGGTGCTGATGCATGGGAGACCTCCTCTGTACCACAACCCACATGCACCCTCCTGGTGCTGATGCTCCAAACCCTTGCTGTCTGAGTTGGGCCATCAGCCTGCCCCACTGTACCCCATCTAAGTTCAGGGCTATGTCCAGTAGCTGGCTTCAGAAGTCACTACTACTAGGTACCTGTGGGGATGCCACACTCCTGCTGTACCTCTGGCTAGCTGCAGGGACCATGCTCAGAAGGCACTGGGTACCCACCTTAGACACAGACTGGACTCCTGAGCAAGACGCAGTAGTTACAAGACCCCACGGTTGTCTCCAGGGCTTCTGCAGCCCTAACTCCAGGCCAGGCCTACTGTGAGATTCATGGGAACAAAACCTTAGAGTCTAGGGGTTCCCCCATCAGGTTCATAAAAGCTCCTTAAGCTCTGTGTGCATGGCATTTGGGGTGCTTGGTCTCCTCTTTGAAACAGAGAGGTCATACCACCTGTCCCTCCCCCTCTGTCTCCTGAGAACATTCCAGGCATCTTTCTGGGGCTCTTGGTGGCCTCGGTGCAGGTTCGGGAATTGGAGAGGATCTTTCTCACTCCGCTCCTTGTCCCTCCACAGCGCTCCTTCTGCAGCACAGTAGCCGACGAGATCCGCTTCTCCCTCACCTGCCAGCGCCGTCTCAAGCACAAGCCGCAGCCTCCTATGATGGTCAAGACTGATGCAGTCATCAACATGCACACATTTAATGATCGCAGGCTTCCAGGCAAGGATAGCATGAGCTGCAGCACCTCGCTAGCCCCTGTCTTCCCCTAGACGTGGGTACAGCGGGGACTTCAGGCCTGGTCCATGCAGAGGAAAGCAAAGGAGACCGGAAAACACATCCTCATCTCATGCTGGTCTTGGGAACAGAGCTGCTGCCTGCATCCAACTATGGGCCATCAGCTCATACCTACCAGGAAGCCAGTGGGCCCTAGGCCAGCTTCTTGGGCTTCATCTCCTCTTGTCTTTTCTATGGCTTTCTAAAGCTGGGAAGGCCAGCGGAAGCACATGCCTCTCAGGCTCCACTCACCACCCCTGTCTTCTCCATAGCCAGGTATTTCTGCCATGGCTCTGTGGAGGCCTCAGAAGATGGCTCTTACATCCTCTTCCTTTCCCTGAAGCACAGGGCCTTCTAGCACGCAGCCATGAGATGGAGACTCCACCTTGGAACACTTTAAGGATGTTCTAATGAGGCTGCGGTGGGAGCCAGAAGGCAGCCAGCCAGCCATTCATACACGGAGAGAAGCAAGACATCAGCCCTTAAGGGTTATTCACCTGGTACCGGGCTTCTCAACTTGGCTTCACCCACAGCAGCCCCTTGGCAACAAGGAAAGTAATGTGGAAAGGAGGAGTTTGTTACGGGAGAAGGAGAATACACAGACGGAGGCTGCAGTCGCAGATGCTTAAGGTTGGTGTCCCAAGGCACGAGTGTTTAGGAAGTCCCCAGGAACATGAATGAGGTAACAACCATGGCAAATTCTTCTCCACTTCTGAAACAGAGAAGACACACTCTCTCATAAAGAGTGTCCTTAGACTCGATAGACATCGGAAGGCCAGCAGAAGAAATATGGATACTATGGAAATCCCACAAACCCTTGACCTAAGACTTTACTGGTAGACAAGCCAGCATTCAGGGCCCTGGGTTTTCCACCATCTACTCATTGGCGAGTCCCTGCCCCCGCCCATTGGAATTTGCCCCCCCCCGTCACCCTGAAAAGAGAAGGGCAGCCTCAACTGAAATGCAAGTCAAGTCAAAAGGGGTTGGTGTCCTCTTGCACAGACAGACTTTGGGGTAGGTGGGAGAAGCCAGGTGAGACCTAAGGAACTTTCTGGGCATGCCCAGTCTAAAGAGACCCCTAGAGAAAGAAAGCTTTCAGGGGTGGGATATGAGACCTCCAGAGGCCCCTAGGCTGGGGAGGGAGAAGCTGTCTCCTGGAAAATTAACCAAAGACCCAACACAAAGATACAAGGTCATCCTGGCCCTTGGTGTCTTATCTGGAGCAGCTATGGTCTTAGGAGATCCCAGGGAGAAGAGGAGAAGCAGAGGAGAAGCCAGGGAGTGGACAGCCAAAGGGATGAGCAAGATGTCCTGTGGTTCCCACTCTGGAGGTTTGAAACTATGAAAGTCTTAGAAAAGATCCAGATGTGAGGGGTTAGGCAAAAAGTGTCCTTACAGAGAGCATGACAGGGCCATCAGGGCCCCCACAGCTAAGGGTGCAAGTTGGTCTCCGATGAGTGATCAGGATGGGTAACATGGCTTGAGAACTGGGGAACACCCACTCCCTCACTTTCCTAGATGAGCTACATCTAGATCTCAAGAGACCTCTCAGCAGAGGTGAAGGAACCCAGCCAAGCAGCCACCACCCTCCAACTGGCATATGTGATTAATCCATCATGCTGGTTCTCGGGAGCTCTGGCTGCCTGTCTGCGCTGGAGAGGGGAGACTTGCAGCCAAGCCCAGTACATGGAATGTTAGGAAAAGCCATGCTGGCAGGAGGGAGGAGCGTGCACATGTCTGTGTGTTTGACTTTGTATGTGTGAGTATTGGGGGCTGGCGATCAAGGACAGACATGGGTATATATCATAGTCCAGAGCGGGCAATAATAGGGGCCTCCTTTGGGACCTGCTTGTGTATGGTGTGTGTGTGTGTGTGTGTGTGTGTGTGTGTGTGTGTGTGTGTGTGTGTGTACATGAATGAAATGGGGAAATGGGGAGGAAGGAGCCCAATCAGGACCAGCAACAGGGCCTCATCTATGTATAAACAGGAGAAGCCATGGTGAGATGGGGTTCTGATGAGTATAGGGATGGATGCAGTGTGTGTGATTTTTTTGTGTGTATGCACATCTGTGTACTGAATGACAGAGGATGGGGAGCAGGATACAACCTGCAGCATAGCCAAATATATGTAAAGGGAGAAGCCATGTTATCAGAGATCCTTGTATGAGTGTGTGTGTACATGTGCACACACACGTGTGCAGGCTTGTGTGCCCTGAAGATAGCAGGGGAGGGCAGACCAGACTGCTGTGCCCCATGGGTGGATGTGTGCTGTGCCAGAGGCGTTGTGTGAAAATGGAGAGAGAGAGAGGCAGAGAGAGAGAGAGACAGAGAGAGAGAGAGAGAGACAGAGAGAGAGAGAGAGAGAGAGAGAGAGAGTACACTCACACCCATACACCCATGCATGTGTAGACGTGTACCTATTCCAGTTCAGATCATGAGCTGAGGCAGCAGAGCAATCAGTAAGGACACCAGGGTTTGTTTGCATGCCTGTTGTAGGAGGGATCATTTGCTACAGCTTTCCTGAGGCTCCATGGGAAAGTGTGCAGGGACTTTTGGGGCTCACAATGGTGACTCCTCCTATGCTGTTCATAGTATCCTGTTGGGAGGAAAAACATTCCCTTATTTTCCTTTCTTTTTTTTTAAACCAGCCCTGCTGACAGGATTCTAAAATGAAACCATTCTCCTCCAGTCTGTTCTCATCCACTGCATTCATTCACCACTGTCTTATGTTGTCCAATGCAGTTTTATAGCACACACCACATCCATGTTCATATCACACATGTGCTTTTGTGCATGACACGGCAGACGTGTCATGTTCTTCTGAGGCTATGCACATACGTAGACTGTGATGGGAGAAGGAACGGGACATGGTTGGTGGGAAGGATGTTCATAAAGGTAACGAGGAACGATGGGGTGGCTTAGAGACTCATGTGGGGGAAGGGTGGCATGCTAAGGATCTCCCTTTCCACTCGAGCCTTACATCCGGAGGTGTAGCTAGCGCCTGCCCTCTGGCTGAAGTCCTATGTTTGTCCTAGAGACCAGCCCAGTACCAAGCACCCTGGTACCACCCTGCCCAGCTGAGTTGTGTCTCTCCCAGGGTAGGGAAGGAAGTCAAGAAGGAGGCAGATCATTCAAGTGCAAACCTGTCCTACCCCCCTCGGGGGTGCACAGAGCTGGGGCTGCAGTACACAGGGGCACTGAGGAACAACGGGGAACACCAAGGCTGGTTTGGATGGAGCATATGGGGTGTACCTAAGCAGGTGGCGGCTGGCTGTCTCTGTCTGATCCTATAAACCAGGCCTGAATGGAAGAGCCCCTCATGCCACTATGTCTGGGCCTGAGCTCCATCTGCACACACTAGCCCAGCCGAGGGGCAGCACCTATCCTGGCCAGACCCTGGGGGCTGGTATACAGTGAGCCTCCTTCTGCAGCTGCCATGGCCTGCATCCAGTCTCTCTGCTATGGACAGATGATGCAACCTGAGCACTCTGGGTGCTCAAATGGCTCCCGTCTGCAGGTGTCTTACAAGAGGGGAAAATGAGGTGTTGACCAGTGAGCTACACTTAAAATCCCTGAGGTAGGAGGTTGCCCCTCCTTCCTCAGCCTGCCCTGCATCTCGGCTGAAAGAGCACTTCCTGGGACCTGCACTTGCAGCGTGCAATGGGGGAGGGGTGAGCAGATTAAACATATCCACGGGAGAGCAGAAGTCAGACTGGGCCCACAGTCCCCAAGAACCATCTGCCCCTCCTTTACCTTTCTTTCTGGTCCAGGGAGGGCTGAAGGTGGGGTGCAGCTGCTGCTGCTTCATGCCCCATGAGGTCATGCCACACACACGCTCCAGAGACATTCCTTACTGTAGGCACCAGCATCTGAACACAACTCCCATGGTCCACCTCTGGAATTGCCCTGCGTGGATGCCCATTTGGAAGGGCCCTCATGTCATGGACAAACAACTGTATGGAGTTAACATCTGGAACCCACCCAGCCCAGTGGACAGATTCAAGAATTGGGCACAGCCCTGTGGGCAGGTCTCTGAGTAAGATATATCTGGACATCCCAGGTTGTTGGGGCAGGGAGCACATCTGGAATAGGCCTAGCCACTTGCTACAGTGGAAAGGGCCTTGCCCTCTGTCTCCATGTTCCGGAGTTGAAATTGTAGAGCTGAGGTATATGTGAAGTCACAGAATTGTTTTAGGTAGAAGGCTAATGTTCTGTACAATATATATATGAATGTAAAGTATATATATGCTTATATATATATATGCACAGTGTACATATGACCCACAACCCCTGTGTATACAACCCTTCCCTGCACGTCTGCACACAGTGTACAGAACCCAGCCAGTATGGGTGGGGACCCAGTGAGAGATGGGGGCTGCAGCAGAAAAGTCAGGGTTACTTACTCAGCCCTCTGGAACAAGCCAGGCCTTGCCAGCGTCACTGCTGTGGACCGTAGCAAAGAGGGCAGGCGAACTGGGAAAGGTGCAGCCGAGGGTGAGAGTCTCCACCTGGGGTCTCCAAGGCAGGGCAGTGGCATGTCCAGGGAACAAAGCCTTTTTGGCCCTTGATCCCTGAGCCAACATCACAATCTAGACCCAGTATCTAGTGCTAGGGAAAAGAGTAAGGCAAGTGGAGTCAGTTCCCCAGGCCTGCTCTTATGCCTGTCTGCAGAATAGCCTGGAAGGTGCCAGGCTGCATCTGTAACATCCTGAAAGTCAGAGGACCCTGGGTGGCATAGGCCTCACATATGTCATGGCTACAGTGAGCCTCTTTTGAAGAGAAAGGCCCGAGGGCACTGCTAACATGCCTGTTCAGCACCCTGATAACCTAGCTATGAATCTAGCTCTTATTCTCCTGTCTTCTAGAATAGCGGCCCTCAAATCACCCCGTAGTTGCCTGTTTTACTTTTCTAGACCAGAACTCTGAGGTCTGAGGTAGAAGGAAGAGCTATAGGTTCAGTCAGAGGCTAGCCAAGAGCCTGCTTGTTCTTTCTGACACAGTATGAGGTGTGAGGGGGCTATTAGGAACCAGAGAGATGGGAGACGAGAGGCTCAAGAAGGGGGCACCTAGCTTCGCACAGCCCTTACGGTCTGCCAGTTCTTCTGTCTGTTCCTTCTAACAAAACAGGGCAACTGGCAGAGAGCCCCCGACAGGCAGGCCACAGACCTCTGGCCCTGCCTCACCTGGGTCTGTCTGTTGCCAGTAATTTGAGGCCTTCAGTCCCTTCCTGGGTCCAAGCATCGCTAGAGTGTGCTGGGGAGAGGAGCCCTGGGTTTGCTTCTGTGTGGTCTACGGCCTGCCCTCTGCTTCAACCCCAGCCCTCAGGCCAGCTGCACTTAAAGGTCAGGCCTGCTCCTGCAGCCACGCCAAGTGCATCTGAATCCAGCCGCTGAGGAGGGCCCTGTCCTGGCTCCATAGAGACCAGAGACTCCAGGAGCCCTCACGCCACTGTGCTCTGAAACCCCAGCCCATCCCTGCCTGGGCTGACCTCCTGGCTGGGCCTCCGTGGTGGGGACGCCAGCCCCCAACTCGTGGGCTGAGCCCCCAGACAGCACCATGGGACTCTAAGAGCCCTGGCCTGTCCCACTACCCAGACCAGAGTGCCTGGATGCCCCCCTCCCACTCAACAAGGTTCCCACACACTGGTCTCTGGGCCATTCAGGGGGTGCCCTTTGTGGACATGCAGAATTTCTATGAATATAGTTTTTTGTAAACATTTTGTAACAATTTGGGTTTCATAGTAACTGTGTTACTTGCCAATCATTCTAAGCTGATGTAAATAAATTTCCAAACAAATCTGATTATTTTCCTTTTTAAGACACTGTGATATATCAAAAGTGCACAGTTTGCTGTATGAAGTAATATGGTTTTAAATTTTAAATAAATGTTTTTAGAAAATGGGTTCCTCTTGGGGTATGTTTTCTGTTCTTCATCTCCCTTCAGAACCAGAGGTCACAGGCAGTTCATGGTGGCCATCCTCCTCCCCGAAATGACAGTTTCCAGGAAAACAGGCCCTGTGCTGAGCAGGTAGCTACTTCCAGCCCAAGCTCCTGGTTCCACTTCAGACATCAAGGGCACAGTGTCCCCTGGCTAATCTCAGTCTTCCCCGCTCTCGGGCACACACCTCTATAACTCACCATCGTCACAGGTCCTGAAGGAGCTGCTGTGTCCGTGGGTGACCCTGTCCCTTTGGTTATAGTGGATGGGGTCAGATGAATGTGTCACCAGATCTCCCCTGAGTTATTCTCAGCTGGCCCTGTGGGTTACTCTCTGCAGATGCGAATTTGATGTCCCAGGGCAAGTGATTGTAGAACTGGACGTCAGATGAGAAAGCAAGGCCAGCAGGGGTTGGGGGTGAGGTGGGGGCTGGGAATGGTTCCCAAGACAATACAGAGCCATCCTGTAAGCCCGGCACAAGAGCTGGGAGGGAGAGACATAAGAGTTGCAAACCGGGCTTCTAGAAGTCTCAACTGAAAAGCTGCTACTATCACAACCACGGTTATAATTGCATCTCATTGTCCAGAAAGCTGCAAAGTGGGTAGTGGACGATGCTGCTAACGCTCTCAAGCTCTCATGACAAAACATTCCAGCCGGGAGTGAGAAGGGTGTGTCAGCGCCCCTCTGCCTCTCAAACTCACATAGACAGATTCACTTAGAGGCTGAATTCTCTCAGAACCCTCCTCATTGCTCTATGGCGTGATCAGACAGTATGTGTTGAGGGTTTCTCACTGGGGCAGACCTGCCCTACACTCTCCCAATGGGCAGAAGCTCTCAAGCCTGTGTAATTGTAATTCCCAGGAGAGTGGCTATGATTGAAGCAGTTTGGTTCAGGTGGCCACTTATGGTCCAATCCGCTGTGACCTGAGGAAAGAGAGAGGTCACTAAGTATAGTCATGAGACATAGGCTCATAATTTTAGGGAGACTGAAAGGTCTAGAGAATTCCAGAGACTATGTGGACTGGCAGTATCCTGAAAATTTTACCTTCTTGTCCCATCACCAGGCAAGGGTCAGGCAAAACCCTAGCAATCTCAGTGGAAGGAGAGGCACCCATTGTGGACTACAGTGTCAAAGAGATTTTGTTTAACCTGGAGCTACAGCCAGGCAAGTAGGTACAGAAAGATCCTAGATTGAAGGATATCTGTCCATCAGGAGAAGTCCTGGGGGTGAGTGCCCCAGACCTCGGGAAGGACTTCGGGTCCAGCAATTGAGAAGAAAGGAGGCCATGGTAGGGGTGAGGGAGTGCAGTGAGGCCATGGTAGGGGTGAAGGAGAGCTGTGAGGTCATGGGAGAGGTGAGAAAGAGCAGAGAGGCCATGGTAGGGATGAGGGAGAGCAGTGAGGCCATGGTAGGGGTGAGGGAGTGCAGTGAGGCCATGGTAGGGGTGAAGGAGAGCTGTGAGGTCATGGGAAAGGTGAGAAAGAGCAGTGAGGCCATGGTAGGGATGAGGGAGAGCAGTGAGGTCATAGGAGGGATGAGGGAGAGCAGTGACTGCTCATTCATCCATTCCTTCATTTAAGACTTTAGCATTTAATGCAGAAGTTCCGGTCCCACACCTACTGCCTGTGTAACCTTGAACAAACAACTGAGTTCCCTCAGCTTCGGTTCTCTTGCCTGTGAAACACACGATTGAAAGGACTGTCCACTCAGGGAGGCCATAGGAGGTGTGTGACAGTGTAAACTGCTTGTCACAGACTCAGCCTGACAGATGTCATCTCCCAAGGCAGCCAGGAAGACGACATGGACTCCGGAGAGGGTTATGAGTTTCAAGTCCTCCCACCCCGCCTTGATTTTCCAGGTGAGATGGCACAGCTCACAGGCTGGGATGGGTCTCCTGAGTGATGGGAATGTGCCCACTTTGCTGCCTTGGGATGCTCACACTGGCAGGAAAGCAAAGACCCAAAAGCCAATTCAAAGTGAGATGAGAGGACTGCTCTCAAGGGGCCTTGCTCACTCTCAGCCAGGCTCCCATTCTTTGCTTCTGTCCTTGTGAATGACCAGGAGCAAGTCAAGGAGAGGCCGGGGTGCTGGGACTGCAGCTGGAATGGATCTGCCACACCCCCTAGGCCTTATGGTCCTTCCTCAGAAAACACAAGCTAAGTATTTAAGAAGCATCTGTCATTATGGAAACAAACTTGCCAGGCCATTTTTTTTCTCTTCCTATTTTTACTGCGGGTTCATTATCTTATGCAAATGAAGCCGCTGATGAGTCCTTTCTGCTGGGTGGCCCATGCTGGGACCAGCTCCACCAAGGGGATTTATTGCCTCCCTCAACTCCACACAGGATCTAGGATGTGGGGACCCCACAGAGATGGCTTCCAGAGCAGCAGCCCCAACCAGAAACAAGCCTTCCTCTGAACCCAAGCAAGGCCCTGGACAGTCCCTGGCATGTCAAGGCCCTTAACCTACAAAGGTCCAGCTAACTGTCAGTCTCACCGGATTCAGGCCTCTATCTCAGATCACTGGTATCTGGAGCCTAGCAGACTGAGTGACCATCCCCAACATGATATAAGGGAAACAAGATGCTATGAGAAAGGGACAGTGTGAGCCTGTCTCTGGGACAAAACCTTGGGCAGCCAGCATAGACCAGTGACATAAGAGTTCTCAGCTACAAGGCAAAAGAGCTGGGCTGTGCAGCCATCAAGTCCTTGCCATCTTCGGCTGGCCCCCAGAGCCGGTCACTGACAAATGCTTGTAGCATACCATTAGGTGGCAAGGGAACACCCTGAACGAGGACAACGCCTCAGGCAGGGCACTCCTGCAGGAGCTGTAAGCGTGGATGTATGCTGACAGTGTCTGCTGGGGGCTATTTTATTGATGCAGAAACTGAGGCTCAGAGAGAGCAATAACTTGCCTGAGTCTGGGGCCTAGGTTCGGAGACTAACTCAGGACTCTCTGCCTCTCCAAATCAAGCAGCCAGCAGCACCTTAACCCCTTTTAGCCTCTCTGCTGCTCACAGCTCAAGCACAGGTCCCTAGCCTAGCCCTTCCCCAACTCCTACAGATCTGGGCTTCCTGACATTCCCCACCACCGGCTGGCTCTAGGCTGTCTCCTGGGCCATCTTCTCAGTATAAACATGTTGACAAGCACGCATTCTCCCCAGGGAGCCCAGCAGCTTCCACAAGCAGGGAAAGTTTTCAGTCCCCATGCCTCAAGTCCTTACTTCCACTTCACTGCGAAGCCCAGCTCCCTCTGTGTATTCGACGTTTATAGACCAAATAACATAGCTGAGACAGGCCAACTTTACAAAGAAAAGAGGCTTATTGATCAGAGTTTGGAGGTTCAGTGGCATGGGGGCTGCATGGGTGCCTCACCTGGCTTTGGTGAGGGCCATTCAGCTACAGGACATCATGGCCAATGGCATTGGCAAAAATGGGGGTGGGGACAGCAAGGTGTCATATTGGGCACCAAGGCCCAGAGCTCTTATAACTATCTACCCATAGGAACTTGCTGGGGGTACACCCCCAGCTATCTCTTAAAGGCTGCATTCCATAACATAGCCACCAAAACCCAGACTTCCAGCACATGAACCTCTTAGAACACATTAAGCCACAGCACCCTCCTTCTGTATAACTCAATCTCTAAACTCCAATAGCTCGAGTCCTAGAACAGAAGCAAGTACTTCCTGAGAGCCTTCTAAGTACTGTACCCTGGGTGGACACATTCCTCTGCTAGTAGCTCAGACCCTCACCACATTTCCCAGAAGCTGGATAACGGTGAACTGAGAGACAGGAAAAAATAGAAGTTTCCTGATCCACCAGCTGAGGGTAAGAAGGAGGTTCCAGCAGTCTCAGGGCTCAATGTCGCCAGCTCTGGGTCCACCCCATGACCTAGACTTCTAGCCCTGAAGGTCCAGAGGACACTCAGAATCTCCTCCTGTCAGGGTGGAGCCTAGAGCTGTTGGTGTCTGACACTTTAGCAGGAGGACTTGTCACAAATGATAATAATAAATTATATTAACGATGCAGTCACTAGTTGAGGCCCCTGCATGCCACAGCTCACACGATGCTCACCATATCACTCTGAGCTTTGGGAACCTATCCCCATACTGTAATGTACAAAGTGTGAGAGAGGGATTCCCCACAACAATCCAGTAAGCAGCAGAAGGAGATTGTTGGGAATGATTTTACTATCCGTAAGCGCTGACCACTCCTGTGTGGGTGTGTTCACGGGTACATAGAATGTACGGTGGCAAATAGAGCTAGGGGGAGGGGACTCTCTCCCTTTGGGTTTTGACCTGGAGAGAAGCTGTGACATTTGGTTCTCAGATTTCTTGGTGTTCAAGTAAGTGATTTCTCTTTCAATAAGTATGTTAGGATATCCCCTTTTGTGTAGTTTAATATTTCTGCATTATCTGTGTCAGAAGTGGGATTCGAACCAACGCCTCCATTCCAAGGCTTCTATTTTATAGATGTGGCAAATGAAAAGCTAAATAAACAAAGGGATGAATTGGAAAGCAGTCCACAGCAAGGCTGTTGAGATACCATACAGAGGAGGGGGGAAATCCAAACTTGATTGGGCCCCAAAATGTGAATTACTAATTACAGTCACTCACAGGAACGACCTACCATTTATGCCTAATTGCAGTGCAACCCAATAACAATTATGCACATCAATAAATGTGTCAGATTAACTTGGTTGCAAGTTTTATTTGATCACTGACACTAAACCCCATTTGCTGATTGCTTCAACTTGGGTGGCTGTGGCCACCCTGCTGGTCCTGCCGGTCAGTTCCGACTCACCAAGAAGGACATTGAGGCTGGAAAGGAAGTGCAAGGTGAACGAGACAGGAAAGGACTCCTTTCTCCCCTGAAACTGGTTGGGTCTGGCAAGCTCTGAGAGAGCGGTTCAGCAGGGGGTCTTTGCAGGGTGTGCAGACCGCATCCCAGGCCTCCCCTCCCT